ACATGTGACATATATAGCATATAATACACACAGGCTTCTCAGATTCCAAAATGAGTGGATCTTCACTAAGGTTATGCAGACAGTACAAAGAGATAGATTAAATAATAAACACAACATGTACTTCCCCCACTTACCATTCCTTCAAGTTGGAATGAGATCATCTAAGATATTCACACAAGTCCCATAGCTCCCTTTCTGACCATTATGCTTCTTTTGCCATTGAAGGTCAGCGCACCTGACGTGGCAAGTCCTGTGGTTAAAAGATGTTCCCATTCATCATACCTCCTACCAAAAGAGCCCTCCTGACTCTCTTTCTCCCTTTATCCCCAAACTCCTCGCATGGCTCCATACGGTACAATCTGCTCTAGAGTTGTGACCAGCACACAGTGAATACTATGTTCAGTGAGACCTCCCAGGGTCCAATGTAGTCATGATATCCAAGCCTTACCATGAATAAGAGTTAATTCAGATTTGCCGATCATCATAGGGAAAGGAAGCCATACAATGCACAGTCAGTATAACCTTGGTAATGCTGCCTTTGTAGCTCCAGGTTTTATACTGGTATCACAAAATTACTGTCACAGATTACAGTGAAAATCTTGGAAGCCACAGGTCAGAAGACCGTCTTTCCTACCTACCTACGGCTGCAACCTCCAACAGCCTGCCAACAAATGCTTACTTATTTAATGGGGCTTCTTTTTTTCATCTAAAAAGCCATCCTCCAGACACATCTTCCCTTGCAGATGTTTTATCTAGACACTTATTTCTACAGAGAGCTTGTATTTTTCCTTCCTTATGCATCTATTCATTTGTGGTATAAGGCTTGCAAAGATTTTAATATTTGTTCCGTTTTTACATGGTCCATAAGCACATTACTGTGACACAAAATAAATGTTTCAGTTCAGAATGTGTATAGCCTAGGGAGAGATCACAGACACAGATGTGCCTCAGAAATACGCCAGAGACTGGTAACATTCACTGTTTGGTTAGCAAGAGAATTTTCTGCTTGCAGTAGATCCTTCCCACCTTGGCTGCAAAATTTATTTGAAGAATGGGATTTAGGAGAGGGTACAAATGCTATGGTTCAGGAACAAAGAATAAATTTAAGCCTTGAACATTCCTCTGGTTCCATGATGAGTGGATCCAATTAGTAAAATTTACTAGTTTAAATTTAAATTTAAATTTAAATTTAGTAGTCCAATTAGTAAAATCAGTAACATCTCTTCAAAACGATGTTAAGGAATTCTTGTCAAATGAGTATTGGTGGCACCATGGCACACAGAATACACACAGTACATCTGCAAGATCAGTTGGCCTATAATCTTCTCTTCTCCCTGTGAAACAGGGAAAGGTAGCATCACAGTGCCAATAAAAGAAACAATACTCCGATGTTGCCATTTCTATGCCATGTCCACCACATCCCATTAAGGAGATACAATGATGTCAAAAGACCACTTTAGGTGGAAATGAAGAGAACTTCCCTCTGTTTCACTTCCAGCTGCCCCTACTACGACTTGATTTCTGTGTTCAGACTGCAGTTTTCAACCCAAGGTGCAGGCGCTGCTCCAAAGTGGTGGTGGGGACGTCCTGTATGATGCTCAAGGGATGGGAGCAGTGACAGCAAACTCTATGCAAACTTCTGCACTCACCCATGCAAAACCAGCCTGGGTCCAGCTGGACACCACTGGATACGGATGGAGGGATCGGACCATGAAGCCCAGCGCTCTCATATCTGAAAGCGAGGTATGAAGACATTTAAATGAACCCCTGATTTAGCCTGTAAGCATCCAGACTGTATTTGCAGTGCCCAGCACACTGGTCGCTGGCAGCTCTAGGGATCAGAAAATAATAATATTTGTTTTCTAGATAGGACTTAAATAAGAACTATAGAACTATTTTAGCAAATCAATAAATATGCATTAATGTGCCGGGTAGCTTTCTCGACTCTAAATTAAAATGACGTAATAAAAATATCCAAATATTTTCGGTCAACTCACGGTTTTATCTATGTGACTTAGAAGAGGATTATTATGTGGCCATATTATTTACATATTTTTCAGGTACGATTAAGAAAACATAGTGATTGGAAAAGTACCCCAATTGGGACAGATAACATTTATGTGATACGTGGGCTGATTGAAGATTTAAAAGTGCTGTTTGTTATGCTGCAGCCAGTTATGAAACAAATGATCTGGCTCCAACATAAACTGTTAAACTGAAAACATGCCAGAGGGAGACAGCTGTCAGTACATTAAAAAGTCATTTTCGCAGGCAACAAAGACTTAAACCAATCATTTTATAAACATATTTCTTTGCCCAACCAGATTTCCGTAACTCTAATGGTTCGTCTGCTGCATGAAGAAATAAAGTAAGTTTTTGCTCGTATGATTTGTCAGGAATTTCTACTTGGGAAGAACAGATGGTGCTAAAAAATTGAACAAGGATAACAGCATTATCAGGCTTTCAACTACAAAATCCATTCTTTCTACACACGTTTAAAATGGAAGCAACGCACACCACAAACCTTTGACCGCGGCCAATCCACAGTTTGCATTTAAATGACACTGTTCCCAGTGTCAAGGATCACATTCTGGAATAATATTCTCCAGATTTGTGACAAAGGCTTTGGATTATAAGTTAAAGACATGGCCAAACTTGCCAGTGGTGTAAACTTGTGTATCTCCATTAAATTGGTGGATGTAGGGATTTATACAGCACAAGGAACCAAAGTCACACTTTCCAAACAATCTGTGCCATGTTTCATGCTGACCCAGGCGACTGCCCGGACAGGTTTTAGGGAGGTTGGCCCTCCAGACAAAGCTCAGAGCACTGTGTTTTCCCCAAAATCATTTTGTGCTTTTGTAGCATCATCCAAACAATTATTCCTGGATCCCCCACTGTCTTAACTCCTCTTCCGAAAGATCACCTCTGTGACCCTCAGCCACCTAGAGAACCCAGAGATCCCGAATTACTCTGCCCTTCTGCACCTGCATATTCAATAGCCCAGAAAGTAAAGGTAGCACTCAAGTGCAAACGCCTGAAATCCCAGCCCTCTCACTTCAGAAAATAAAATAAATTTCAGCACCGAGGTAGTCCATTACCTGGCCTGCTGTGGGTCAGAGTCCCAAGAATCACGAGTACTGAGGGGACAAAAGTCTCAAGTTCACTAATCCAAGGCGGGGAATTTATGAGAAGGGAATGAGGTGGCTTTACAACCCTGTGTAAATGTAAATAAATACGTCTGTGCTGGCATGGATAATTTTGAGCTGACAAGCTATTGCTGGATAAAATATATTCATTTACTTTGCTTTTCACTCTTGCTCAGCGAGCCAAGTCTTGGCAGAGCTATTGTCTCTGGTTTTATGTGAAACTTATTTTACCTGTTACTTTTCTTAAAGGCACAGTTCCTGGTGTTGTTTTGTAGAAATTATTTTTCTTTTCTTCTTCTCGCTTGCTATTCTTCCCTTTTTCCCTTCCCTTCTCCCCTTTCTTCTTCCCCTCCTTCCCTCCTTTCCTTTCTTTCTTCTGTCCTTCCCTCCCCTCTTCCCTTCCCTCCTTCCCGCACCTAAAGTCTTAGCCCGCTGTAGAGAGAAAAATGAAAAATGACCTGTATGGATGCTAAAGAGCCAGAAGCCAAACAGCAAGGAAAAGGAACCCTCCAATGTATTTATTTCTAAATTGCATAATTTGGAGCCAGGCTTCTGTGGGCTTTGAAAACAGGGAGCTGATAATAAGGTCACCCACTAGCATTTAAAACCAGGGCTGTCTCTACAGCGCAGTATTGAGAGTGGCAGGTGGCAGCAGTGCACAGATACAATCTGTTAAAGCAGTAATAATGATTACTACTCAGCGCCCCTCTCCAGAAGCAGCACCACTAATGAAAATGTGATCTGCTGTAACCTAAATATGTCATTACCAGCAACTTCTAAGAGAAGTCTAACGGCACTGGTTGCATACACCGCTGGCAAGGCCCACTGCTTCTGCTTCCCGAGAGATAATGAGGCACTGGCTCCACTCCGCAGCACGGGGGGAAAAGAGCAACCACATAAATCCACCTGCCTGGTGTCTGGCGAATCTGCCTTTTTCTCAGAGATGGACCCCGTAAGTCTGGCTCTGTCTGGCTCCAGAGGCGTCTGCCCTGGAGCAGGGAAGGCAGCTGTGCCTGTCCCCAGGAACCAGTAGCGCCCTGAGCCCCAAAGCTCGCCCTGAGCCCCAGCCAGGCACGGCCCCTTGGCACAGCGGCATCCTTCCCTGGCGTCCCTTCCCTGGCCAGGTGCTGCTCACCCCAGCTGAGCAGGATGATTCAGCACTCAGTGGAAGGTAAGCGTAGACGCTGCCAAATTCTCCTCCAGTGTGGTGATGTCTAAACTGGAGAGTTATTCAGGGCTCTCAGCCAGTTTTAGCCTGCACCCATCATCCACTCATCAGTCTGGTGATTGCAGTCTGGCGATTTCAGTCTGGCGCCACTGTAAGGCCCAAAACTGACTTAGTGCCCGTCTGTTTCGAGTACTGGGCAGATCTGCAGCAAAGGTGCAGGCAAGCCTGAGCAGGTGGCCCTGCATCCCTGTTCCCCAGCCCTGTCACCCCTGGCTGTGCCAGGGTTCCTGCAGGTGGCACAAGGGCAGGTCCCGGCACACAGAGAGCCACCGGCTCCATGCTCTGCTAGACACAAGTGGGCACGGAAACAATGAGGCGATGGGAGCATCAGTCACGCTGTGGCATGGAAATGCTCCCACGTTAGGCTAATGCGTAAGCTCAGAGCTGCTCACCTCTGGGGGAGGACCTCAGCGAAATGTATAGCGGGCATGCACCCTGCAAGCATGGGATACAAACATGCACATCCTGCTCTTAAATAAAACTTGCCGTGCAACGTGTGTGAAGTTACACAGAAAGAATCTTTTAAAAGCACACCACTCCTAATTAAGGAGATACTCACTCCCATAAAAGTTGTTTTGAGTGTTTACTACATATAAATGAAAGATAGGAAAGGAAAAACAAAATTTCTCAGCTTCTTAATATTCTTAATGTAATCAATTAAATCAACATAAACTACACCCATTTCCAGTTCAGACTCCACCTGGTTTTTACGATGTTGCATCGGCACCGTACATAGAATTTTCCCAGCAAGGAACAAATGATCATAGTCAGTACCTCTTTCAGTTTGCAAGTGTACCGTCAGTAGTCCTTTCTCAGGCACAAACGCGCGCACACACATGGACACACACACTTTGGGCTTTTGCTGAATGGAGGTTTCTGGCGCCAGGCAGGCTGTGAGGCCAAGTCAGGCAGTGAAATGATGGTGGTGGTGGTGGTGGCACCCTCTTCTCTGGGCCATCTACAGCGACATTCTCCTCAACGAGTCACTACCCTGTTCCTTGCCACTTGCTCGAACAGGAGCAGGAAAGTCAGCTTCATGGTAAATACTTACAAAGCAAGCATTTGTGTTTTCATTTTTAAATCACTGTTTGCTCATTATATTGCTCATCCCTTTTATGGTGCTATAATAGATGCTTTCTTCTGTCTCCACTTTTGTATCGCAAGTAGTTCCGTCCAGCTGCCTATGAATTTGTCAGTGAATCCAAGAGAGACGAGCCCAGCCGAATTAGACTGTTTCAGTGGGAGGTACACAAGAACTGTATATCCTGTATGACAACTCTAGATGCGATACTCTTAGGTGCGAGGTCTTCTTTTTGGGAAATTCAGCTGAGATCCCCCATTTGTATTTATTTTCTTTAGACAGTATTTTTTAACCAGTATGTATCATAGGCATCTATTTGACTAGCCACCTTCATCCGTCAGCCATCACCGCATCTTAGCCAGCTTGTGTGTTGCACGAAAATAAAAGGGTAATGTGGGGAAAAAGCAGAGTAGTTTAGTTTGTCTGCTAAATATGCTCTCTTAAAGAGAGCGGTGAGATAAATTATGCCTATCTAGTAGCTAAGGTAGTGTCTGCATCTGTAGCATCTACAAGCTTTAATAACCAAGGTACGCTCTGTACTCAGGAGGAAGAAATCTTCTGAAAATGATCTTTTGTGCACAGAACTATCACTCAAAGCAGGCGCCCATGATGGAGAAACCACTGATCCCTAGTTTTGGACAACCATGCTGCTTCCCTGGTTTTGCACTTGCATCTATTTCCTTTTTTAGCTACTTAGCCGTGTGATGAATTGTAATGGGACTTGTTCTGGGTAATGCAAGTAACAGTGGGCTAAAGAAGGCGAACTGCTACATAAATTGTGCTGTTTGTTACAGCTTTTAAGTTGCTTAAACAGCCATACTGATGAAATGTCGGTAACCATCTGCTACCAACATTTGTAAATAAATATAAACAAACCTAAATATTCCCTGGCTCGTTGCTCTGTTTCAGGCACGGGTCTCTTGGTTTTTTTGTGTGCTTTTTTGGTTTTTTTTTAAGTCTAGATGTAGTTTATGCACAGACTTAATTTCTTCAGACTGTTTAGCTGCCTGGGTGTGATTACACTACGCTGTTCTTTGGTACCCCTCAATGCAAATTACTCATGACTGAACAGAGAGGAAGGATGCCCAATTCTGATTATTCAGTGGCAAAGCAAGCTGTAAAACTGTAATTTCTTCATGGCAGACTGGGAAGAGAGATTAATTATAAGCTTTCTTTACACGAGTTTCTTTTGCAAATCTGAGCAAGTGGGACAAACCTGTTCTACTTACAGAAGGAAGAGGTTTCATAGCATTTAGGAGCCCTACCCAAAACTCAGCTGTGTTTGGCTCTATAGAAATAAGAGCTAGAATTTCGAAAGTTTGAATCTTTAGTTTTGGCTTTACATCAGGGTCAACAGTATTACACACAGCAGCTCTGGAACACTACTCATTTCAGTGCATCCTCTCCCATGAATGCTTCCTCTCTGACGTGTGATCATACAGTATCTCTTTTGTTTCCACAACAGTTGTTTACTGGGAAAAGTAGTATTATGAAAATTGTACTAGAAATCAGCTATTGGATACTTCTTCAAGCATCTACCACAATAAATGTTACTTGCTGACTGTTGCTGTCATTTTGCACCATAGTGCCCCAGGGAAATAAAAGCTGCTCACTCTCAGATCTGATTTCCTTTCCGACAGCTTTGTCTCTGCACCAAACAGTGCCTCTAAGTTAAGAGTGCTCAGAGGGAAACTCACATTTTGGAGAAAGCATTTTAAAAAATTATGATGAAATGAAAGAACTTCTTCATAGCTGGATTTTCCTACTAGAGTGCTACTTACTGACAACTGGTAGTTAAATTTTACAACATGATTTTACAACTCCTCCAACACATCAAGTGCTGTGCACATTTTAGACATCTTTTTTTGTTGATGCTCTCCATTGAGTTATTATCTCTTATCGAACATAACTTCTAAATACTTTGGTGAGATATAGTATAGTAGAAACATTTCTTGATTTTTTTTTTTAAAGTTTTAAGTATTCCTTTCCCACTAGAGAGCTAGATCAAATATGAGCATAGCTGTATTATTTTGCACAAACCAATGATCTTTTCTGCTTCCAGATGACTGCAATGCTTATGAAAGCTGCCAGGATGCATTAAAATCATTCATGAATTTGTAATAAGGGTCTTACGTTCCACACGGCAAGTATTTTGCATTGCCAAAGGATTCATCCTTGTTAATAGCACACTCTGCAGTTTTGAAACACTGGCCTTTCAGACTTGAGCAAATAATTGAATCTCCTTTTGGCTTTGTTCCACTAATGACCCACTGGAATAGGGCAGAATCCCGACGTCAGAGAGTAAATGGGGTCTCCCTACTGGGACAGGCATCTAACTGTATTTGATACGCTACCGTATAGATGGAAATAAAAAGTGAGGCTTGCACTTGAGGAACGAAGTGTTCAGGGAAAAAGGAGGAGCTACTTGGTTCTCTCGCAGTGATTTGTAACAAATATTAAGATGGTATTAATGAAGTGTGAGAAGAAGTGTGTGTGTGTGTGCGCGTGCGTGAAAGTACCAGAAGCAGCAGAACATGTATTAAAAAGAAAGGTATGTGAATGAAGAGGAGGAACAAACCGACCTAAAGATAAGGTATCAAACAAGACGAAGAACAAGTCCAGAGCCATAAAATACCCAAAGGCAACAAGACATTCATGAATTTGTGAAAGGTGAAACAAAATAGTGAGGCAAAGTATCCCAAACACCATCCCCTCCTAGAGAGTATAAAAAGCAAGTCCAAAATCAGTTCATTTGCCAATCAAGAAACCCAGAGGCACAATGAGGACTTAACAGACAGCATCCTTATCCTCTGTGTGATCATACACGTGATCTTGGCCAGACCATTCGAACACACAAATTTTGGTGCTTCCGAGTATGTGGGTGTGAAAGCGTAAAGGGAGACAGTCAACTGTTTACAGAGATTTTGTTTATAAAATCACATTCCCCTTCCATAAGGTCTCACGGTGAGCTTTATCACACTCATTTCCTATGCTCTTTAGTTCTTCAAAATCCTTCAAAACCTAGAGATCCTGGGTACACACTCTTTCAACTGATGCACACATCCCCCGGCAAAGACATCTGCTGTAATTGCTATTTAGCAGCTTTAAGGTAGGACGAGGGTCGCCCTGCAAAGATAGGCTTTACAAAGTAATGGCAACAGAGGGGGTCTAGACAGCTTGAATGACAATCCACATGGATAAAATTTTCTCACATGCGGACACAGCCAGCACAAAAATCTACGCATCATTTGAATTCTTCTTGAACCTTTAAAATTATGGAGTAAATGGTTTACAGGCCTTTGGCTGCCCCAGCTTCATCCTCTAAATGCTTCAGCCAAAAAGAAAATGGCAATAAATGAAGGCCTTACAGACCGCGTCGTCCCTTTATGGTAGTGGCAAGAACTAGGCAGATCATGTAATACATTTTCTTTAAAATGACAGAGGAAGTTGTACTGAGTTTTCCAAAAGGATTTGAAATGAAACCTCTGTGTAATACTGTAGGATCAGTGTGGCAACTTGGGAGATTTAGGAGTCCAATTATAACATGGAACATTTTAGTTTTAGGTTACCATTTCACATTCAGACCAGTTTCCAAGTTTCCATGAAAAGTTTCTATCTATCTGCTGAAAGTTAGGACACATGCTATGCAAGTCTGTATCTTCTGTCCTGGTTACACAAAGCAACGTGCTGATCTGGGAAAATCAGAAGTTGGAAACTAGATCATCTCCTTGGTGCAGAAAGCAGTATCTTCTGAGCTATGTTAGATCTGGCTCCACACACAGTTGGATCAAGAGGCCTTACAGGATCATCAGCTGGGCATGTCTCATAGCAAGGACAGAGGAGGACATATATGCCTAAGTGAGGACTTCAGTGGATTTAGAGGGATCAAACCATGTTCCAGAAAACCTATGCACTGTCTCACTCTGAATGTGTCTGACTTCACAGGCATCCTATCCAGACTTGTGCTCTGATATATTAAAAAAAAAAATCCCTTGTCCTGGGCAAAATTGAGCAGGTCCGCACAAGCCTGTCCAAGTACTCCTTCATCTGAGGGGATGGATCCAGTAAGTATGTACTGCTTAACCTGCAGCATCAGCCACTTCACAAACCACAGTGGCAGCTACTGCTTTCTTAGGAGTGCCAGAGGATGAGCAAGATATATGTGAGATGCTTTATTCAACAACTCCTTAAAGTACTGACGCAGTCTCAGAAATCCCAGCCTCCTCTCTTTCCTTTCCTCTCTCCCTTCCTCCCAGCAACTACCTTGTGAGGCTGAAAAGCCAGGTTTCCTCACACACTTGCTTCAGAAACCATTCAATTCTTTGCTGCACTGTGGCACAGTTTGTAGCAGTGGAGCAGGCAGGCGCATTAGGAGTCGTGACAACTTCTTCATAAACGACTGCAGAGCAGTTCATTTCTTCAATTCTGGGGCCTCTGAGCACTACTCCAACATAAACATTGAAAAACGAAAGAGAAGACCATCACCTAAGTAAAAAAAAGAGAGAAATCTGCTGCTCACTAGCCCAACATACACAATGCTACCAGCTGGCTTGTGTGTGTCTTATTCAAACGGCTGCTGTGCCTTGCACAGACTCAGGCTAACGAACATGGTAAATAAGAGCAAGCCCTCACTGACTGGCAACTACCACATTCCCTTACCTCGTTTCTGCATATTCAGATGCTTTCAAAAGCAGGTTTTTATTTTCCAAAGCAAATGACGTGTAAGCCATGGTTTAGGTTCTGTAATTCTCATAACCAGGCTGGAAGACACTTCAGCTTCAAACTATTCCTTCAGCTCTGAAAATTCAGCTTCAAGGACGAATATCCATGATGCTCATTTTGTAGCTGTGCCTCTCACGCATGTGGCCTGACATCCATGTTCTTGAGGGAGAGCCATACGTGACTGTTAGAAACCAATGGTATTTAAAAGAATTTCAATGTCCAGAAGTCTCTCACAGGCAAACCTGTGACACCTACACAGAAAAGACAGGCGGGTAAGGATTCCAGGCATGATCTGATGATTTACTAGCATCTAGCAATCAGGCTACTAGATTGCACTAAATCGTATTTCATCAAGAGAGAGCGCTCCACGTAAAAAAGGAGCACAGCAATGAAAACTGTCATTTACGGTCTCATGTATACTTACTTTGGCTCCACTGAGATTAAGTGTTCTGCATGAATCATAGTGGTGCACTGGTAGTTTGGCCAACGCTCAGATAGTACATCAGGGAAGAGAATTGCATATAATAACGTAACATCCTGTTTGGAGGCTTAAGAGGCAAAAATCTAGCAGTAATCACTTCCAAGGCTAGTAACTCAGTTCTTATTGCCTTCATAATGACTCCACAGTTATTCAGTCAATGCAAATAGAGTCTGATATTGAGCATGAAGAAGATAAATTAACAATAAAATGAGTCTCACTCATACATCCACTACTTATTTTAGTGGAGACCTGCAAAGATACAGTATGCACTTTTAAAGTATGTTGCCCCCCTCTTTAAGGTGCTGAGATGGCTGAAAGGGAGGCTGGAACAAAGACTTTCTTTACTAAATACTGGGTTGCTTTCCTGAAAACAACAACCAAAAAAAGCTGTTAAAATTTAATAAACAAATTTTCCATTGGAATTAATAAATAGTTCATGTTATAAAGGCCTTTTGGTTTACCCATCATTTTGGCTAACAACGAAAACACAACAAAATTCTTTTAGGGGCTTCAGATATGACATTAACACCATGCATGAAGTGCCAGATGCCAGGATGTTGGCCTTACTAATTTTGGTATAAGACCCAATATTCCAGACAAACCTACTATATTCTAATTAATTAATTAAACAAACAAAAAACCCCAAGCAACCAATCAAACAAAAAAACTCAAGTATTGACATAAACCATACCAGGCAAACTCAAGCAAATTTAATCTTACTTGAAATAAGCTTCCTTCCTTCCACCCTGCCTCTCTTCCCCAGCTCCAGGCAGTTCTCTTCTGTGTCTCGAGTCATGCTGGAAATAACCTAGAGAATAAACTCTTGGCTGGGGACCCCAAATGTCTTATGGTCAATGGATATATCCCCTGAAGATTTGCCTTACATCTAAAATGGAATACCAAGGATTTTACAACTATGGCAGTTGAAAAATCCATCCATAATAAACCAGGGGGTTATCATTCATGGCTTAGAAACCAAAATACTGAGCTTGTTCTTTAAAATACATCTTGTTAAAGCTGGTTATAAGACAATAAACAAAGGCTAATGAACAGAAGGCTCACTGTGTCATGTCTAAAATTAGACTGCATGACATTTGCATTGTCACGGGTTTGTGGAATACTCAAAGGCTACTGTATTATCATTTTAAGCATCATATGTATCTTTATCAATTTGATAATTACAGCTAGTTCAGTATATTGCTAGTTCAGTGGGTAAGTGACAGGATAATTTCTTACAGGAACAAACGATGCAGTCGGTATAAAGAGATGTAATTAGTACAAATTGCAACACCGAAAAAAAAAATGCAAACAGCAAGTCTTCTGAAGTTCCTGAAAGAAACAGCACAAACAGAAAAGACGGCATTACCTCTGTGTGTCACTGCCCTCCCGACAGAGGTACTCAATCCTGAAACCGACTCACTCAGTTGGTTATTGTATCTTCACCTGTACAGCCAAAAGCAGCCTCGCTGGCAATGTGCTGGGTGAGACACAGGAAAGTGCCAGCACAGGAAAAGCGATGGGAACACGGAGCTGGGAACGGGAGGAGGGGGTGGGTGAAGTCAGGATTTAGATCATCTGAAACTGCCATGGAATCACACCTTAAACTTAAAGTTTAAACTGCTTAAAATAAGCAGGGTCATTTTGAGAGAAATGAGTTAAAGAATGATCATACAAATAGCAATCCAGGCAGGCTTGAGAAAATTTCATCCCCCAGCTGGAACAGTGATGAGGAGGCAGGACAGGCTGAGGAAGACAGAAAGCTTCAGCTGAGCTAGATCTGGCTAGATGCAGTTCCCACCATGCCTAACATACCACTGGTCTCACATGCCTTATACCACCTGAAACTGCATAAAGCAGAGTGAGTCCAACCAGGTGGAGACTTAATTAAGAAACTCCAGGTTAAAGTCTGAAGAAATCCAGCCAAGTAACAGAGAGGAGGGAGAAAAATTGTGGAACAATTGCCCTTGTATCACTGGATGAAACCATAAACTGAAACTGAGCAGGCAATCTAACAAAAAATTAAAACAAAGATACAGGATCAAAAAAAAAGAATTGGTGGAGCTTTGAGACTTTGGCTTTACGCCACCAAAATACGTACATTTCTTGAACCATCTGGGTAGTTAGTCTGATTTCAATCAACTAAGCATTTGTAGAATGTGTGGTTTGATCCATATGCAGCAATATTTCACTGAGTTGGGAAGTGACAAATCATAATACAGGTCTGGTGTGACTCCTTCAGAAATTCATTTCTGAGCACCCGTTACCATAATGATGCCAATACACTGAAAGTAGCTCACATCAAGAGAAATAGAGAGTTGGTTGCTGTCTTAAATAATGATTTAGAAGATCTAGAAGCATCTGAAGTGTGCATGCACTCAATGAAGAACTCATGGGATATATGATGCTAAATTCAAGAAGAGCGAAGTGCAGATTAGGAAAGAGATCATTTATGAAAGCTTTCTGAACAACGGGATATTTTAGACCATGGAATAGTCTCACAAGAAACAAGTGGAGCTGCAAGGCGTGGCAACTACTGAGGACAAAATAATACACTGGTGTAAGGGAAGGCTCTATGAAATAACAGATCCATACACATCTGTTTCTGCGCTTGATGAAAGGCAAGTTCAAATGAGAACAGGACTGCTGCTAAACAAACATTAAATATGACAGGAACAAGCCCCTACAACAGTAGCTCTCACTTTCTATGTGACCTCTAATATTGTAATTGCCTTATCCATTCAGTTTGGTTTCATGCACGCCTCCTTATCCTCACGTCACTTTTCTCTTACAATTATAACCTCTACTACAAAACGGGAAATATATTTGCAGTTTTCCTCAAGTACAATTGATTACAGCGTACCTTGAAATGCCAGAAAATTGGCTTTCCTTTCAGACCATCCACATTTTTACACAAAAGCATTTCCAGCACTGGTTTCTGCTGCCACAGCTGTTTTGTAGCCAGAAGAATGGGCTTTTTTTTTTTTAAGTGTCAATAATAAAAAGTAACAAAAGCGTGACACATCCCAAAGCGCTTGGAGCTACTCCTAACGGAGGGCTACGGAGGGGAGCGCAATCTTTTCCTCTAGTCCTGTCAATCACTGTGTTACACCATTAAAGGATCAGCTGGTTGAAGTAAGCTTTTCCGATTATCGCCACCTTTAATGCTGGTGGGGGGATGAGCACCAACGATACAGAGCGCTTTATGTCCTTGAAAGATTTCTTTATAAGGTGCTCCAACTTTGGCTTGAAGAGACACGTCTCTAAATTTCTTTCAACTAAAATTTCACCATGTATTTTCAGCCTACCTCCATTGGAACTAAAAAAACCCAACAAACCCACAAAAAAACCGGAACCGGCCAACCAAACAAAACCCCCAATCAAGCTGTTTTGGCACGAAAACCTCTTCAGCGGCACACGGATAAAAAAGAAGACTGCACGTGCGAAACACAACGCCGCTAGCTGTATGACGGCGGCTCACCCTGCGAGTCCGATTACCGCTGGCAACCGAGGTGACTTTGGGGAAAAACTTTCCGGGGAAGCGCGGTGCCCCCTGCCCCGGCCCGGCTCCCCGCACGCCGCGGCCAACACCGAGCGCCCCCCAGCCCCAGGCGGGGCCGCGTCCCCTCCCGGGGAGAGTCTCCTCACCGGGAGAGTCTCCTCACGGGGAGGGCCTCCCGCCCAACGGCTCCCCGCCCCGGCGCCACGCGGAACCCGCCCCGCGCGCGCCTCTGCCTCCACCCCCACGCGGGGCGAGCACGTGCTAGAAGGAAACACGGCCCGGCGCAGGCGCGGTTCGACCGCCCCCCCTCACCTCCCCCCCCGCCCC